ATCTTTTGACTTCACAGCTTCCCTTATTTTATAATTTTGTACAATGACATTCTAAATCATGTATAATAAACATTCTAGTGCATTCACAATGTTACACCAGAAGCCCCCAAGGTGTAGGATTACAGCTTATGTTGCAAAAACAACTGTGAAGGAACAAAGGTGGCGGTTAAAAAAATTTAATGCAAAATGCAATAAAAGGGATGCTGTACTCAGTCGAGGGAGATGGATCCACTGTCAACTATGACTGTCCAAATCAAATGTTTGGGAATTACTACTGTGATTGAAAAAAAGTCAATAATCAAACTGCTAGAATTTTTCACATTGCTTTGCCTATTTATTATTTTAAAATTCATATTCTCTCAGACCATATGTGCCTGATCAGACAATTTTTTTTTGCTCACAGACGAAATTCACATAATTACTACAATTCAACTGATACAGCTGTTCCTTACAGGCACCTCTCCAGGTCAAAACATCCCTCTAATGATCTACAAAATACTGTACAAAACAAATGCTGAAAGGCAGTCTATGTGGTTTAGAAGGTGCTTAGTTTCTGGACAAGTAGTAAAAACTTAGAGCATTTTCTATCCTATCTTGAAAGATGAACCTCTCAAGGGGCCAATTACTTGCAAATTATGTTGGCGCTAGTCTTCCCAGCTTGGTACCTCCTCTTGATAACTACTTATTTGTTAATTATGTTTGTTCTTTATACTATGTGAATGAAAATATTAATGGTATATTGGAAGAGACTTTTTGAACATTTTTGTTGTATCCATACAAGATTTTGTTTAATATAACACTAACCTGTTTGTTCTAATGTTTATTATCTATCTCCTTACTTGGTATTCCTTTAACCCTTATTGCATATGCAATCAATTCATGATTATTATTCTAATGGAGGTTGTGATATTATATTTTCATTGCAACTTCTGCCTGCAGATGATATATAAAGAAAAACAACGAATTATCTATAAAAAAAAGTTGTCTTACCTTGTGTTGATTCCTGTGATTAATGTCCCCACAGTCAAATTGTGAGGATAAGCCAGAGATTTTTATGTAAAACACACGGTCCTGCAGTGGGAAAAGCCCTAGAGAATAAATGGATCCCCAAATAAAAGGAGAGAGATTGGTATATAAAAGACTTTTTTCAGGTTGTAACATTTCTTCAAATAAGAGTACATTCATGTGTGAAATGAACATTAGTTCATTATATGCACTATTATTTCACAGAAAATACATGACAAATGGTATCAAAACTACATGATCCTTTTATGATAAGATAATGAAAATATTCCTATCTAAGATGAGTATGAGTGGCTACAATGTTGAACATTTCAGTAATAAAAAGTGATCACATACAAAATAATGAAAGAACACAAAACACTAGATGGTCCAGTCAAAGCTGAAAATACTGGATAAATATTTAAAATATATAATTTTAATAAGAAAGTCATATTAATGAAAACTACCATACATACTACAATTTCAAGTTTAAGAAATCAACTAAATTACAGAAAATAATCTCCATTAAGTGCAGCGCTACTTTTCTGCCAAAAACTGATCTAATATCAGATGCACTTATCCTCTATATCTACAACTCAGACACATCTAAACAAGTTATAAAAAATAAGTGGTGTGGCTAGGTCCGAGACCGGGCCACGAGGACATTGACCCCGGAATTAACGGCAAGGTAACCGGCAAAAGGTTAAAAGCGAGGCTGCAGAGAAGAGCTCATAGCCAGAAATCCCAAGGCAATAACTCATGCCACCACATCACCCAGATGCTCCTCTTGGCATTACAGCAATAGTCACAGATTTTGGATACAGAAAAAATCTAAGCAAACCAAAACAACAAATCTTTTGAAACAGGGCTGTGCTGTCTTACTTGCTCTGTTGGAGAAATGTAAGTCGGACTCGAAATAATAAAGTTTCATGCATTTAAGCTAATTGTAAACATATTTTTACAGTAGAAGACAATATATTAGTGCAATATGTAATGAAGTTTAGACTTGAATGTTTCAATTATACACAAAATCACCTGGCACAATACAGTACGTACAGTCCTGTACTTCAACTAATTTAAATTAGCATATACAGTACATCATCAAATGAAACAAACTTGAGAACAGTTATGAACTTAAAGGCATACAAAAAAAAACTTCCTAATTTAAATTACAAGAATGCCATGAATAAGTTGGAAAAGGAAGTGAATGGACTTGGGGGAAAAGTTTAAACTTTAATAAAAGTTTGCTGGTGTTTGCTCACAGCCTCGTACTTCTCACTGTTGGCAGTGCCATGACACTAGTAACAAATGATGTATAAGGAACTGAACAAACACAGATTCTTATTGATAGGTCAGATAACACGAAACACTTTTTACAAGAAAAGCTCATACTATAACACAATTTATAATAATTTAAAAATTTTTGCTTTTGTTCTCATACCTTTTAGAATGCCATCTGTTATCTTTTAACATTAAATTTGTTGTGGTGATTAAGATCAATAAAATAAAGAAAGATTTACCAAACATAAATTTTTCCTTGGATAAATATAACACAAATAAGTTTCCTCGGAATGAATACACAGGTACAGTACAATACTAAAATGTGAATTTACCGAGAGTAAAGTTTGTTACATCTGTTTACAGTGCTTACTACTCTACCTTTTAAGACTTTCCAACTGACATATAAACCGGACAAAGCTTAATAGCCATACAAATGGTACAAGATTTCAAATCTGACAAAAACAAAGAATTACCGAGTCGTTGGGTGATTTAGAGGTATGAAATTTATGTGGTAGAATGAAGTTCGGTCCTTTCGTGTCCAGCAGGCATAGACTTGAAATATTATTTTGGTTAGAGATTAATTACAAGTGTTCAATGCTATTATCAACAAGTGCCTCTTATACTTTTAACCCACTGAATAATAAAATTGTATGTACTGTAATTTGCTAATTTGATAAATTTAAATGTATGTACAAGTATGACTGGTTTCCTACACAACATTTTACATTATATACCTCTCTAATACACACTTAAGTCTAATAAAGCATTGTTAATAAAAGTTATCTTATAGTTCCATATTAAATAATTAAAACAATAAGCAGTTCCAAACATAAATGCAAACACCATTTGTCATAGGCCTAAAACAGAAGCCATGCTTCATTTTTGCATATGCTTCATGGATTAAACAGCTGCTTAATTATAACTTCATTGGATGTATTATATATATATAACTGAAAACTCCACACCCCAGAGGGATTCGAACCCAGTTCGAATCCTTGTGGAGTGTCGAGTTTTCAGTTGCATATTGGCTTGGGGACCATTCAAGCATGTTCGCATAATTTTAATTTTATATATATATATATATATATATATATATATATTGTTGATTATGACCAAAGAGTAAGATTAATGAATCTAACATGAACCTTCTCAATATTTCTTATGTTTTTCTTCACTGTCGAGGGAAGTTGAAAAATTATCTCTCTAAATTTCATTTTTACAATTTATTATGGTCTGATGCCTAGGGATCCATTTCGCAAGGTACTTCTTACATTTTCAAAGAAAATGTACTACTTGGAAATCATCAGACCATAATAAATTGTGAAAATGAACTTTGGTGTTAATTTTTCAACTTCCTTCGACAGAGAAGAAAAACAAAAAATATTGAGAAGATTCGTGATTGAATCATTAACCTTACCCTTTCGGTCATATTCAATATATATATATATATATATATAATATATATATATATATATATATATATATATATATATATATATATATATATATATATACATATATGTATGTATGTATGTTCGTAGACGGAGAGGTAATATCAGGGCGGTGGTGGGTGCTCCCAGTGGCACTAATCCTTCGATCCCCCCTCCCCCTGGAAGCATATTGGAAGGAAACTATGGTGTACTTCCTTGCAGCTATTGCACCCATGGGCCAGGAAACTGGAAGAACCCTTATTATATACTGTATATATATATGCTGTGTATTATATATATATATATATATGTCGTACCTAGTAGCCAGAATGCACTTCTCAGCCTACTATGCAAGGCCCGATTTGCCTAATAAGCCAAGTTTTCCCGAATTAATATATTTTATCTAATTTTTTTCTTATGAAATGATAAAGCTACCCATTTCATTATGTATGAGGTCATTTTTTTTTTATTGGAGTTAAAATTAACGTAGATATATGACCGAACCTAACCAACCCTACCTAACCTAACCTAACCTATCTTTATAGGTTAGGTTAGGTTAGGTAGCCGAAAAAGTTAGGTTAGGTTAGGTTAGGTAGGTTAGGTAGTCGAAAAATAATTAATTCATGAAAACTTGGCTTATTAGGCAAATCGGGCCTTGCATAGTAGGCAGAGAAGTGCGTTCTGGCTACTAGGTACGACATATATATATATATATATATATATATATATATATATATATATATATATATATATATATATATATATATATATATATATATATATATAATATATATATACATATACAGTATATATATATACTGTATATGAAGCAAATACTGTGTCAATAGATGAAATTTGTAAGACTCAAAATTAAATAAGACAAAGTACAGATGATTAGAATGTAGACCTGATTGGACATCAACAAAAAGAACATTACACAAGTTCCCATTAAAGTAAGAATATTTACATAACCAAGATACTTTAAATAGGGTAAAAAAATGTACACTATGATTCTAATACTATAAATGAAAAATAGATAACACTCTACCATAAAAGCATATTATTGTACCTGTAAGCTGCATTTCTTAAGAACTTCTTGTATATAAAATTTTAAAATCTGCAATACTATTGTTGGAAAGTGTATAATAAAACATTTAAATATTAAATGACAGAGCACTGATTCTATACAAATATTTTTATTTGTGCAATATACACAGGATAAATGCAAAAAACTAGTATACAATGAAAAATAATAATTCCAAATCTATATATCTCTAAATTGTTTGCTCAAAATACAATAATAATAATAATAATAAATCATGTTCAGATATACTGTATGTGGTACATTAATCACGATACAGAGTACAAAATCTGAACAATATTAATAGCGTCTTCTCTTTCTGTCATCTGCTTCTCGTGAAGATTCTCGTCTGGCCCATCTGCCACCAAGCCCAGTAGTAGCTGCACCACGAACTTCATATTCATAGCTGGAAGCACGAAACTGCCAGTCCCTTTCCTCCAAGTCTTGGCTGGTTCCATATTTCTCCAACCAATCACGATAACGATACCACCATTGTTCCCATTTAAGGTAATCGTCAAGAGTAATAGATCTATCTCCAAAATATCCAGATTCTTTATAATAACGATATCTGACATGAACATCATCCCAATTTTGTGGTAATTCTCTAGGCAAATCACGATGGGGATCCCACTGCCTTATCTCTCCATAGCGCTCCTGATATTCTCTATATTCAGCCTGATGTTCTTGTAGCCATCTTTCATGAGCTGGATGATTTGCACGACTTCTACCACTTGGAGAAGGTGTCCTAGACTGTAGTCGTCCAGCTTCAAGGTAAACTTTCTTATCTTGACCTCCTTCACGAACTATCTTCATCCGCACTCCTTCATATTCTTGTCGCTGTGAACTAAGTTGAGCGAGTTTTCCAAATCTCTCGGAAAGTGTCATACGTCGTGGCCCATCTTCATCATCTGATGATGAATCTGAATCTGATTCTTCTCCTTCTGATCTTGGTGATTCTCTTGGGGGAGGTGGAGGTTGATGATACTCTGGATGATCAGGTGGGACAACCTTATAGTGGTGAGGATCTAATAAGTGACGACCCTCTGTGGGAACACGAGGAGGAGTGCCTGGTCCCCTATACACTGCAGGTTCTTCTACCGGCACTTCATTAGTATCATTATAATAATTGCTCGCAGGTGCAGGAACAGGAGGACGTGCTTTTCTTCGTACTGCACTTTCCCCTTCTTTGATTTTTACCTTGTTTTTCAACTTTGGCATTTTTGATACAGTATTTCGTGACTTTACAACAACATTGCTGACAGTTTTAGTAACAAGTTTCTTTGTTGTCTCCTGATGGGTAACTTGCTTCATGCGAACCTGTGATGATGGATTAGCTGGTGGTGGTTTCCTTTTACTTACCCTCGCCCTTCGGGGAGATCCAGAATAAGACTTTGGTCTGCGAGGTGCTGGTGTATAAGAACGTTTCCGCCTAGACCCAGATGAGCTGGATGAAGAACTTGTAAAGGATGATGATGATGAGCCCGATGATGAACGAGAATAAGAAGAATAGCTTCTAGAGTATGAAGAACCACTACTACTGGAAGACGATCTTGAATAGCTGCTAGAGTATGTCCTTTTGTGAATACCACGACCACGTGCAGGTGACCGAGAACTATGAACTTTTTTCACTCTTTTAACTGGTTTAGGAGAGCGTCTTGGAGATCGCCTTGGCGAACGTGGTGAAGTTCTTGGGGCTGGCCGAGGAGGAGAACGCCTTGGAGATCGTCTTGGAGATCTTCGGGGAGATTGAGCTGATCCACTTCTTGTTCTAATGATAAAAGTGAAAAAGTACAATATATTAAGTGTAAAATCATGTTTTTGTTGCATATTTTGATATTACAGGCCAGTCTGAAGCTGTTAAAAATTTAATATCATTAACTTCACAACACATACAAATATACATATTATACAAATAATATACAAATTGAATACAGCATTAAGAATAGCATCTGAAGAAATTTAAATATGAAAGGGAACCCTCAAAGGTTCAAATCCTGACTGCCTGAACATTAAAATCAGTGATTTTTTCTATAGCTGAACAAAAAAATTAGTACATACGATGAAGGGAAAGTACCTCCCTATTACGACTAGGGAAAAATACCTGGGAATGGACATAACACCAAACCTAACTCCAGAGGCTCAAATAGAGTAACGTCTGCTGCATACTCTACACTAGCAAAAGTTATAACATCTTTCAGGAACTTAAACAAGGGAGGCTTTTAGATCACTGTATATCGCCTATGTAAGACCAGACAACGCTAGAAAGGAAAAGAGGGGGGATATAATACAGACATAAAATACTTTGGGGGATTGACAGTGGGGGAAAAAAAGGGGAATATTTACAATGAATAACAATATAAAAAAGAGGGCACAGATGAAAGCTAAAGACCCAGAAGTGTTTTTTATCTAAGTGTTTTTACCTAAGTGTAGTTACAGGATGAGAGCTACGCTCGTGGTGTCCCGTCTTCCCAGCACTCTTTGTCATATAACTCTTTGAAACTACTGACAGTCTTGGCCTCCACCACCTTCTCACCTAACTTGTTCCAACCGTCTACGACTCTGTTTGTGAAAGTGAATTTTCTTATATTTCTTCGGCATCTGTGTTTAGCTAGTTTAAATCTATGACCTCTTGTTCTTAAAGTTCCAGGTCTCAGGAAATCTTCCCTATCGATTTTATCAACTCCTGTTACTATTTTGTATGTAGTGATCATATCACCTCTTTTTCTTCTGTCTTCTAGTTTTGGCATATTTAATGCCTTTAACCTCTCCTCGTAGCTCTTACCCTTCAGTTCTGGGAGCCACTTAGTAGCGTATCTTTGCACCTTTTCCAGTTTGTTGATGTGTTTCTTAAGATATGAGCACCACACAACCGCTGCATATTTTAGCTTTGGCCTAACAAAAGTCGTGAACAATTTCTTTAGTATATCGCCATCCATGTATTTAAAAGCAATTCTGAAGTTAGAAAGCGTGCCATAGGCTCCTCGCACAATATTCTTTATGTGGTCCTCAGGTGATAGTTTTCTATCTAGAACCACCCCTAGATCTCTTTCTTTATCAGAATTCTTTAAAGATTTCTCACATAATATAGAGGTTGTGTGGGGTCTTTGTTCTCCTATTCCACATTCCATAACATGGCATTTATTAACATTAAATTCCATTTGCCATGTGGTGCTCCATATACTTATTTTGTCCAGGTCATCTTGAAGGGCATGACAATCATCTAAGTTTCTTATCCTTCCTATTATTTTAGCATCATTAGCAAACATGTTCATATAATTCTGTACACCAACTGGTAGATCATTTATGTAGACAATAAACATCACTGGTGCAAGAAATGAACCCTGTGGTACTCCACTTGTGACATTGCTCCAGTCCGATACATTGCCTCTGATCACTGCCCTCATTTTTCTATCAGTCAGAAAATTTTTCATCCATGCTAGAAGCTTACCTGTCACCCCTCCAATATTTTCCAGTTTCCAGAACAACCTCTTATGTGGAACTCTGTCGAAAGCCTTTTTTAGGTCCAGATAGATGCGGTCAACCCAACCATTTCTTTCCTGTAATATCTCTGTTGCTCGATCATAGAAACTGAGTAAATTCGATACACAGAATCTTCCAGATCGAAAACCATACTGTTTGTCTGATATTATATCATTTCTCTCCAGGTGTTCTACCCATTTAGTTTTAATTATTTTTTCCAATATTTTGACTATTACACTTGTCAATGATACCGGTCTATAAATAAGGGGGTCTTCCTTGCTGCCACTTTTGTAGATTGGAACTATGTGAGCCTTTTTCCACACATCAGCTACAACTCCTGTAAACAGGGATGCCTGAAAAATCAGTTGAAGTGGAATGCTGAGCTCAGGTGCACATTCTCTCAGAACCCATGGTGAAACTCCATCTGGACCAACTGCTTTGTTCTTATTTAGTTCCTTGAGCATTTTTTCCATTTTGTCTCTAGACACCTCTATGTGCTCTATGTTGTTCTCTCGAATTCTTATTGTGTCTGGTTCCCTGAAGATTTCATTTTGTACAAACACACATTGGAACTTTTCGTTTAATGTTTCACACATTTCCTTTTCATTTTCCGTGAATCTATTTCCCATTTTCAACCTCTGAATATTATCCTTTACCTGGAATTTGTTGTTTCTGAATTTATATAATAGACCTGGTTCTGTTTTACATTTGTCTGCAATCCCTTTTTCAAAATTTCTTTCTGCCTCTCTCCTCACTGCTGTGTAGTTGTTTCTCGCATCCTTGTATCGCTGGTATGTTTGGGGGTTTGGCCTCTTCCTGTATTGATTCCAATTTTGTGTCTTTTGGTTTTTGTCTTTTGTGTGTGTGCGCGTGCGTGCTTTCGTGTGAGTAAATCACGAAAATTAACGCGTGATGAAAAATGCGAGTGTCAGACCACGGAGGAAGAATTGAAATGGGAATTTCCTTAAGTACTTTCATATATTATTAATACACCTGCTGAAGATGTATTAATATACATCTAAGGAGGATGTACAGTAAGAAGCCAAACCTAACACTATACCAGCATTACAAACAAGCCCAAAACAACTACATGGTAGTGAGTAGAGAGAAACATTGAGAGTGGGGGTGCAGAGCCTTGACCTATTCCAAAAATTCATGAAAAGCAAACTGCAAATAAATGACAAAATACAAAGCCTAAAAATGTGAGACAGACTTTCAAGCTGAAAAAAATGTGTGAAACATTAAACGAACAGTTTCAAAGTGCGATCCTCCAAAACAAGGTTTTCAGAGAACCAGACACCATAAGGACTATTAGGTTCAATATGTTCCATTCAAAGGTGTTTAGAGATGAGGTAGCAACTGCTGAAGGAATTAGACAAACAAAATAATCCAGAAAATATGGGGTCTTGCAATGGGTTCAAATGAAATGCTCATCTGAGATTAGTGCCTCATTACACATTATTTTTCAAACATCCTTACAAATAAGAAACATCAAAGACATATGGAAAATGGCAAACATAGTTTCAATTAATTTAGAAACGAAAACAGAAAAGACCTCTATCATTAACGTGAGTGGTAGTAAAATCACTAAAAGAATAATAGGTTGAACACCTACAAAGAAATGGTATAATAATGGACAGATAGTATGGCTTTTGAACAGGAAGGCTGTGTAACAAATCATCTTAACTTTAATGATAGAGCCACCGAAATCCACAAAGTGTGTGTTGAGCTGACTGCATCTACATGAATCGGATAAAAAAAAAATGTAAATGTAATGAAAATGCCTATTTCTGGTCATCAGATCATCAGTGGCTTCCTGAAGCTGTTATGCTTAGATTGTTCCATGCTAATAGGTCACATCAGTTGCAAAAGTTCTGTTTTGCCTACTGGGTGAGGACCAAAGCCAGAACCTGGCCCCTAACAGAGGCACAGGGAGCGAGTGAAAATTCACCACTACATTGGGAAAGTATCCAGAAAGTCAGTGAAGCTTGAGGGGTTCATGGAAAACAAAGCCTTGAAACCACCAAACAACCCTGCAAGAGATTCACACACAAAACAAGAGAATCACTGAAACTAGCCTGGAACTTGTTAGTACTGATCACCGCCACCAGGCAACCAAGCCCTCTGCCCTCAACTGACTTGCCTAATCAGTTCTGAGTTGATGAACAAATCACTGACAAACTGAGGAACCTGGGAGGGAGGGAATCGGTGAGCCACCAGCGACCCTACCAAAAAGAGACCTTTCATTACCCGTACATTCAACCCTGGGTTTCTGGCGAAGTCCTGTGGCGGCTCTCTGAAGCTAAATAACCACAGGATGAGAACGGGACTTACCAGAGTGGAGGAAAGATGGCAGGCACTAGAACAGAGAAGAGAACCTAGGTTGGGAGACACGACATAAATTAACACAAGACCAACTGGGACTGGGAACATTAACCAAATACTGGGCTGCCAAAACCCAGTTAGAATGCTAAAACCTCTGAGCCTTAATATCAGCCGAGGACATGTTGGAGAAGACTGGAAATTTTTGGGTATGGTAACGTTTGTAATATGGCTTCAATCGTGTCTTTAATGATTTTTTGTAAATCAATGTAACATTAGAAGAATGAGCTACGAGCATTAAGAAGGTTATTAAGAATTTTTAAAACCAAATTCTTTGGTTCATTTTCATTTCCAGTTGCAGTAGTTCTTGTTCACAAAAATATGGGCCGTCTTCCTTTGAAAATGAGTTTTGAGGATGGGATGTGGGAAATATGCTAGCTGGAGTGAAATTTCTATATAGACAGGCTCTCTTGGTAGTTATCCTATATATGATATTGAAATTAAAATTTCACTCAAGATAAATCAGCCCATAGTGTGTGGGAAATATTAAGGCATGAATAGTAACACTCTTAACATAGCTTCAGCCACATTTGTAATGTTTTTTGTAGAGGGACATAATATTAGAAAAACGAGTTGGTGCCTTGGGAAACCCACCGAGTACATTTAGAACCAAATTCTAAGGTTCATTTTCATTTCAGTACTCCCTATTTTTAGTTCACTAAATTATAGGCCCCATTCTCTCTTTGAAAATGAGGTTTTGAGGCTGGGACGAGGAAATGTGTTCGATGTGGTGAAATTGCATTAGAGAGGGGTTCTGTTGGTAGTCGTCTTTCATATAATTAGGCGAAATAATTTTGCTCTGTGAAATTAGCCTACAGAGCATGGAAAATATTAGGGTATGAATGGGAGCTCCCTTTAAATGGCTCCAATCATGTGTTTTATGATTTTTGTAGATGGAAGCAATATTAAAACAAAGAAACTGCTGAAGCCATGTATTTTTCCTTTTTTTTTTTTAAATAGCATCTTACAAATGCCTCCAGGAGGCATTTCCGGTTGTATCAAATTCTGTATTCCAATGAATCGGGGTTGGTCCCATATAGTTTACCGAATCAAGGTTGTACTGTAGCGTACTGTATTTTGAGAGGCATTCAAATTACAGGGTTACATAAAACTCTGCATCAAGCATACGAAGCTAGTAAGAACCGTAGTGACAAGCATCTATATGCACGGAGACCAAAGAGGTGATAGAGGAGCTAATGCTGCATATTACGGTTTAAAAAATACTTTGATGCAAGTGTCCTTTAAACATGATTATAAGAGTTCATGAACTACAGGTATGCTGAATTAATGAAGTGTCTACTATACTTCTACAAAGTGAGAGCCATCTATCAAAGAAGAAGACTATAGCAGATAGTAAATAGACAACTAATACAAGCTTCTCCCTTTGCTGTTGAAGTCAGCCCTAGATTTTCAACACAGCTCTCATCTTACCTCCGCCGTGGGTCTTGTGGGGATCTGGGGCGGGAGGGGGAAGCAGCTTTGCGAGGAACAATGCCCGGTGGATCCCGTGGGTCACGAGGACGAGATGAAGCCCGGTTTTCTCTTTCCTTTTCATCTGCACTTCCCTCCCCAATATCACTATATCCTAGCTCATCTCTGTATAATTCCTTGAATCCAGTGTGTGCCCACCTGTTGCCCAAGTAACAAATCGAGAAAAGGTTAATGATTTCATATGTAATTTCTCCTTAACACAATGAGTATCTTGTCATTAAAGTACTACAATAAAATTTAAATACATTAAAATATTACCTGTTTGGTTGAGTAGCTTCAGCATCCAACAACTTCTTAGTCCAAAAAGTGTCCTTAGTACGAGTGGAAGCTTCACGGCGTGCACGCACAACCACTTGCTCCATAGGACCTCTCTCTCCTGCAGTTCCATGATGACCATCTTAAGTTAATGAAATTTGGCTCAACTTTTATACCATCTGTACTTGCCAGACTAAAGAATATTAACATCACCTCATTTCCCACTTCTATTGAGTGGTGGGACATTTGCTTGGAGAAGACAGAACAACAACAATATTGAAAAAGACGGCTAAATATATATATTCCAAACATATCCATCCGTTTACCACAAACGCCACACACACAACACTGTTACACAGAAATAACATGACAACACACTAGCAAATCATCCATAGCAGCACTGTGCCTCAAAACTAGATGTAAAGTGTAAGGTATAAGTGAGTTTTGTATTGTACAAAAGATTTTATAAACAAAATTACCTCCTAAACAAATTGCTCTTACCCACTCTTGTTCCTTGCCATTTCTCTCATGTGTTATTCATAATAAATCTCCACTCCTCACACATTCACCAAACCTGCAAACATTCTTGGGGAAAACTCCTGCCTCCAACCTTTAAATTCATTCAAACATACTATTTTCATCATCATCATCTATTGTGCAATGTAAGCACATCACCTCGGTATTCTCCCTAAGAAAGAAGTATTGTAATGAAGAAGCAACAAGGAATAAAGAAGAAAAAGAAGATCAACAATAACACCATCACATGTCCACCAGCTAACGAGCCTCACCTTCCTCTACATCCCCACACTTACTGGTCTTGCTTGGAAGAATTAACATTAAAATTGTCAAGACGACTAAAGTTGTAGAAGAAAGAAGGGAAGGATAAGAATGAAGACAAGAACATATAGAAGAAGGGAAGAATATATACAGAGCACCACTTGGTTTCCGAACCCCTTGGGGACGAGACCCGTCGGTTAACATGTAAGTTCGTATACGAGAAATAGAGGGGAAAAAATAAACTAGAAATGTAAAAAGAAATTTTTCCGAAAAAATTTACGAAAAAACTCTAGGGGAAAAAATCGACAGGTTCATAGCGTAAATGCGACTGTGTTTTGTTTGTACTCACCAATAAGTGAAGTCCTGATCCGCTTTATAAAAGTCCTTAATTGTTCCTAACTGATTATTAAGACGTCTGGCAAACATCCTCTGGATGTTTCCTGCCAGCCTGCAGGCACATCCTGCCTAAAATATACGATGATGTACTGTACATTTAAGAAACAAATCTGGGTCACAGGTCTGTGGAGTGTGGTTAGGCTTACGGAGTCAGCCGGTCCCTCCCCCACCACCGATACACCTCCCCCTCTCCCTCCACCCCAAACCCATACACACACACACACACTCAAAAGTCACGTGGTTCATGGTTCACTTCAACACCCATATATCGCTTCCTGCCTGCCTGCCTCCTTCCCAGCCTGCAAGCCTGCCTGCCTGCCTGCCTCCTTCCCAGCCTGCAAGCCTGCCTGCCTGCCTGCCTCCTTCCCAGCCTGCAAGCCTGCCTGCCTGCCTGCCTCCTTCCCAGCCTGCAAGCCTGCCTGCCTCCTTCCCAGCCTGCAAGCCTGCCTGCCTGCCTGCCTCCTTCCCAGCCTGCAAGCCTGCCTGCCTGCCTGCCTCCTTCCCAGCCTGCAAGCCTGCCTGCCTGCCTGCCTCCTTCCCAGCCTGCAAGCCTGCCTGCCTCCTTCCCAGCCTGCAAGCCTGCCTGCCTGCCTGCCTCCTTCCCAGCCTGCAAGCCTGCCTGCCTGCCTGCCTCCTTCCCAGCCTGCAAGCCTGCCTGCCTGCCTGCCTCCTTCCCAGCCTGCCTGCCTGCCTGCCTGCCTCCTTCCCAGCCTGCAAGCCTGCCTGCCTGCCTGCCTCCTTCCCAGCCTGCAAGCCTGCCTGCCTGCCTGCCTGCCTGCCTCCTTCCCAGCCTGCAAGCCTGCCTGCCTCCTTCCCAGCCTGCAAGCTTGCCTGCCTGCCTGCCTCCTTCCCAGCCTGCAAGCCTGCCTGCCTCCTTCCCAGCCTGCAAGCCTGCCTGCCTCCTTCCCAGCCTGCAAGCCTGCCTGCCTCCTTCCCAGCCTGCAAGCCTGCCTGCCTCCTTCTTCCCAGCCTGCAAGCCTGCCTGCCTCCTTCCCAGCCTGCAAGCCTGCCTGCCTCCTTCCCAGCCTGCAAGCCTGCCTGCCTGCCTGCCTCCTTCCCAGCCTGCAAGCCTGCCTGCCTGCCTTCCTCCTTCCCAGCCTGCCTGCCTGCCTGCCTCCTTCCCAGCCTGCCAGCCTGCCTGCCTGCCTCCTTCCCAGCCTGCCTGCCTGCCTGCCTCCTTCCCAGCCTGCAAGCCTGCCTGCCTGCCTGCCTCCTTCCCAGCCTGCAAGCCTGCCTGCCTGCCTGCCTCCTTCCCAGCCTGCAAGCCTGCCTGCCTGCCTGCCTCCTTCCCAGCCTGCCTGCCTGCCTGCCTCCTTCCCAGCCTGCCTGCCTGCCTGCCTCCTTCCCAGCCTGCAAGCCTGCCTGCCTGCCTGCCTGCCTGCCTCCTTCCCAGCCTGCAAGCCTGCCTGCCTGCCTGCCTCCTTCCCAGCCTGCAAGCCTGCCTGCCTGCCTGCCTCCTTCCCAGCCTGCAAGCCTGCCTGTCTGCCTGCCTCCTTCCCAGCCTGCAAGCCTGCCTGCCTGCCTGCCTCCTTCCCAGCCTGCAAGCCTGCCTGCCTCCTTCCCAGCTTGCAAGCCTGCCTGCCTGCCTGCCTCCTTCCCAGCCTGCCTGCCTGCCTGCCTCCTTCCCAGCCTGCCAGCCTGCTTCCTTTCCAGCCAGCCTGCCTCCCTCCCTGCCATCATGCTAACGGGTAGTGTGTGTTAGGCTTATCTTCGGGAATGAGCCGGTCTCGCCCCCACCACCAACAAACCACCCGCCCCCCTACATCCCATCTCTCAAGGTCACGCGGTTCAACCGCGTGACTACCACTCACTCCCTGCTGCGCCTGCCTGCCTGCCTGTGCCTGCCTGCCTGTGCCTGCCTGCCTGTGCCTGCCAGCCTGCCTTTCCCTCCCTAATTCTCACTACTTCCATCCCTTCCTGCCTACCTCCTAGCATCTCTCCCTACCTCCCCCTCCCTCTTAGCATCTCTCCCTACCTCCTAACATCTCTCCCTACCTCCCCCTCCCTCCTAGCATCTCTCTCTCCCCCTCTCTCCCTGATTCTCCCCCCCCCCTCATTCATACTGCCTCCCACCTAAACTCCATCGTCCATCCACCCACCAGTCAGCCATCACTGATGCAATGCGTGCTTTTGGAGCCAACATGGTGCACAGATGTTTCTTGATTGTGCAGATATGTAAAACAAAAGCACAGAATGAACATTCCAGCCTTATGGCAATTCAAAATAATAGGAATAATAGGCCGTGAATCTGTGAAGTCACAGCGGGCAAACTGGACCATCTCCCACCCACCACAACAAACCGGCGTGACGCTTGGCGGACCCCTTCCTACCCGAACTTTGTTCGGGTAGCATGACTCCCCAACCCCAATCGGGAAACTGGAAGTTTCGGATAACTAAAGTTCGGAAACCAAGTGGTGCTCTGTACCTGGAGCATACCTGGAGAGGGTTTAATTAGTTCTTCTACTACCCGAGTCCAGCCTGAGGCCAAGCTCAACTTGTGATAACTTGGTCCAACAGGCTGTTGCTTGAAGTGGCCCGCAGGCCCACAAATCCACCACAACCCAGTAGGTCCAGCGCTTCTTGCAAGAACTTATTTAAATGTTTCTTTAAGATATCCCACCTTTATTCCAGCAATATTTCCAATGCTTGCTGGGAGGGTATTGAACAGCCATGGACCCCTGATGTTCAGACTGCTCTCTGATTATGCCTATGGCACCTCTACTCCTCAGTAGTTCTAGTCTGCACTTCCTTCCGTATCTCTAGTCTCAGTACTGTATGTTGTTATTCGACTGTGCAAATTTTGGACCTGGACCTCCTGTACTGTATCTTTCATGAATATATTATTTGATACCTTTCTTGTCTCCTTTCCAAAGAGTACATTTTAAGAGCTTTGAGACAGTCCCAATAACTTAGATGTTTTATCTTCTCCATGCGTGCTGTATAGGTTCTCTGTATTCCCTCTAATTCAGAGATCTCTCCTGCTCTGAAAGGGAAAGTGAGTATACTGAGCAGTACTCAAGACAGGACAGCACCAGTGATTTAAATAGTATTAGCATTGCTGTGGGGATCTCTGGATTTGAACGCTCTCATAATCTATCCTATTACAGTATTTTCCTGGCCGCCACTATATTTGCTCGGTTATGTTCACTAAATGTCAGGTCGTCAGACCTCATAATTCCCAGATCTTTTACATGTTGCTTCATTTAAGATAATAAGTCTGATCGCGTCATATAATTTCCTCATTTCCACCATACCTAAGTACTGTACCTGGAACTTATCACCGTTAAACATCATGTTACTTGCCGTTGCCCAATTGAAGACTTCATTTATATTGGCTTGTATTTTTTCAGTGTCTTCTACAGAGGAAATTTTCATGCCGATTTTTGTATCATCTGCAAAGGATGACACGAAGCTGCGACGTGTTTTTGTCTATATCTGAGATAAGAATGGTAAGTAGCAGTTTACTAGTGCTCATGTTTACTAGTGCTCATGGGCCTCACCACAACACTCCACACCTCCCTACTCAATCAATCAGAGCACACATCTTCAAGACCAGCAGCTCAGTTCAACCTTGGCACTTCTCCCTCCAACTACAGCAATATCCTCTCCCAAGCAATTCTGCATCTATACCCACTTCCCATTCATCCGTTGGGTATCTTGTCCATATGCATTGGATTAGATCAGACTGCCCTAACCCAACACCACAACACACCACTGACACCTGCAGCCCAATACCACAGTGCACCTTGACACAAGAGTATCTCCTGACACCACCAGCACCTCCTCTCGGATACTTAAGTATTGGATTTAATATTCACCAGAAAAAAGGGTAGATATTTGACATCCAGTACCTTCCTCCCTTGGGAAAGAGTGATCATGCCCTGTTCCAGGACAGATTTTTTAATTCATCTTGCACCATCATAGACACTGCACTTTAGCCCTTAAACTGCGTAACACGTCAAATGACGT